TAATAAACAATGAATAATAGGAAAGGATAAGCCATATGTCCTGTGATTTGGTTATATTCATATTAGTAACAGTCGGACTTGTTATAATTTTGTTCTTTCTCGATACTAGGCGGTCCGTAATAAAGTGCCTCATTGGTGGGTGGGAGTTCAAGGGAATGTTGAAGCTCTTTGGAGTCTAGAAATAGGGTTATTAGCTTTTTAAATCTAGTAAACGTATCACAGTTACGGATAGGCATTGGCAGCCTGTTCTGCAATAAACTACACCGTACTGTAAAAAACTTACAACGCATTTGTTTTTGGTGTTTTACGGTAAGTAGTGTATATGCGTTGTTTCTAAGTCTATAGGCTGGGTCGTGGGTAATAGTCGGGCAGGAGGTTAGAAAGGAGAGCCCATATATCGCTTTGTAGAGGAATATTAAATTGTTTTTTAGCCTACGGTGCCATAAGGGTTCTAAAGATAGATGCTTACATCTGTCTGTGTAATCAAGATTCGAGTTGCATCCTAGTAGTTGACGTGTGAAACGTCTTTGAACATCTTCTACTCTTGTCTTGTCTGTGATATTCATATTAGAGAATACAAAAGAGCAGTATTCAAGGGAGGGTCGTACACATATTTTGTAGAGAGTAAGTTTACCCTCTGTTGTGAAAAAGGTTTTCATTATAAAGCCAATTAGCCGTCTAGATTTAGAAATAATAGAGGAGGCATGTTCTTCAAAGTTCAGGCTTCCTGTGTAATTAATTCCTAAATCGCGTACTGATTCGAGTGTTTGGACTCTACTTTCATTTAAGTGAAGTTGCGGTTTATAGGGATGCTTTCCAAAGTGCATGATCCCGCACTTGTTGAGGTTTAATGGTAATTGCCATTTTTCACTCCATATAGTTAAGTTATTGAGGTCCTTTTGGATCTGGGATACACTTTCGCTTAGTGTCTCAGGCTTATAGCTGTATACTATTTTGAGATCATCAGCATATAAGTATGGTCTCCCAAATTCTATGGTGTTACATTTATCGTTTATATACATAAGAAACAGAAGTGGACCTAATACGCTTCCCTGGATGACTCCACTGGTGATTGGTCTGGGGGACGAGAGACAGTCATTGTACTTTACCATCTGTTTACGTTCTGTTAAGAACGAAGCAAACCATGAGTACAGTGGGTTGTGTATTCCGAAGGACTTTAGTTTGACGAGTAGCCTTTTGTGTGGGACCTTATCAAAGGCTTTCTTAAAGTCTATGAATAGAACTGATACAAGGAGTCCGCTGTCTCGTTTCATAGTTATATCATTCAGGTAGTCTACTAGGCATGTATCGCATGATCTGGACCTAAGAAATCCATGCTGGGAGGTCGAGATGAGATTATTAGTTATTAGATGTTGGACTACAGCCGCCTTAACTACTTTTTCCATCACTCTGGATACCAATGAAGTTATGTTTATAGGCCGGTAATTTTCAACGTTTGCTTCAGCTCCTGTTTTAATTTTGGGAATGATATGTGTAGTTTTCCAGGCAGTGGGGTAACACGCTGAAGAGAGTGATATCGCGAATAGTTTGAGAAGCAAAACACACATATCATCACCTCCACGTTTTAGCATGCTAGATGGAATACCATCTGGTCCATCAGTGTATGAGTGTTTCAATGTACTGATTGCCTTGGAAATATTTTGTACACTGAATTCTACATTAGTAATTTCACAGGGAGGTACTGGAATTGGTTCTGAATCATTAAATGGTTTTTCGTTAGTTAGTGAGAAACAAAAATGTTCACTAAATAATTCTGTGACAAGTCTGGGATCTTCGTATACTTGTTTGCCTTTAATGAATATACTCCCTCTCGATTTAGAGCGTTTAAGTTTATTTTGGAGTAGTATGGTGAGTGCAGAGGAGTTATCATTAAGTTCAACTGCACGTTTTTCCTGTGCTACTGCTTTTTGTTTACTTATTGCCTCTGTTCGGACAAGTATTTCTGTCATCGTTACTAAAGAGGAAAAGTCATTTAAGTTGTGGAATTGAGTACAATGTCTTTGAAGACGTCTTCTTGTACTGACCGGTATATAGAGATCTTTGGAGAACGCAGGTTTACTGTATTCTAAAGGTGCGATGTTGTTGATGATACTTTTGATGTTGTGATAAAATATATTGGTTAATGTGTCGGTATTGTTTGAGGTAAAGAAAGTTCCCCAATCAGTGCTTCTTAGGTAATTGTGGAAGTTATTCCAATCAACCTTGCGATAGTTTCTACGAAGTGTTACGGTTTTGCTTCTATTGGTTGTGGTTTTTACATTAAGGCTGCATATGACAATGTTATGATCACTACCTGGGAACTTTTTTCCAATATACAAAGTATTGGGGATGAGGCCACTGGTAAAGACTAAGTCCAAGATGTTTTGATGTCTGGTAGGGCTATCGACATACTGAGTCCATTGTCCGAGCTCTAGACATTCAATAAATGATTCATAACGTCTCGGCGCTTTGACTGGCAGCCAAGAAATTTCGGGCATATTGAAGTCACCACAAATGAGCTTGCCTGTGAATGAGAGGGATGATGCTAGTGTGAATACCTCCGATAATACTGCTATATCATCTATTGATGCGTTAGGTTGACGATAAACACAGCCGAGCAGTAAAGTAACGGAATTCGACAGCTTTAATACAATCCACACCGAATCCTTCAGTTTGTTTAGTTCAGGCATATCACATAGTAGTGAGTTTAAGCTAGAGTGAGCGTAAATAAGGCATCCTCCGCCTCGTCCATTCAATCTGTCACTTCTATACAGGAAATAGTTATCAAAAGATATACTTTGGTCGGAGATATTACTGTTAGTCCATGCTTCAGATATCATAATAACTGATGGTTGATATATGGATACAAACAGGGCTAAATCCGTCTTTTTGTTGCAGATCGACCGAGCGTTGATAAGACATATATTAAGCAAGTGGCCTACTAAGTTAAAATGGTTGAGGGTATCTCGGATAAAGTCGTCGTAACCCTCGCGGGTGTGAGATGAGTTTGAAATGATGGATTGAATGTTCTTCATTAGCTCGGTATTTTGATAGCTAGATTTAGTGGGAGATGTATCAAATGAGCTAGTGAAGTTGATTGGGGAGTTTACCCAGGAGGAAAGGGTGGGAGTACTCTGTGATGGAAACTGTACGGAGGAAACAAATTTATGGTTTGCATGTGGTTTGAAATAACCTGGGCTATATGCTTCAACAGAGGTGTCACTAGGGGTCTTATTCCAAAAAAATCTTGTACAGGCCTACTGTGAAGTGTATGGTTATTTACATTAAAGGGAAGACAGCCAAATGTATATCACAATACTGTTTCTAGCACTATATTTTATTTTATAATCACACATAATCTTATACTCTCAGCTCTTTTCCGAATCGCCCCCATTTGTCAGTTGTATGTCCACTCACACCTTGTCAACACTTATTTTCTATAACCTATTAAAATGCTCTTTCTTAACATATACCTTAATAAAGGAAAATTAGACTGAGTAATCATACCTTAAACATCCCTTCATGAATATTGGCTACTCTGCCTCTCGTGTTTTCTTTTACTTGCTCCCTCTTTCAGCCCCCTTGAGATATGAAACTGGTGACTTCATCCTGCACCATCCTTAAAGCCTTGGATATCCCAGAAGGAAATAAGGTTGCGATTTCTAAAAGCTCATACCTTCAATGGACCTATCCTTGACCATCAGTCGCACATTCGCAACGCAACTTTCATGAAGCGCGCCAACTGTGGTACTGATTCAAGCCATCGAAATTCATATCTTATAAATTATCAACCCAGTTATGTAATTTATTACAGTGTATATTGTATCATTTGTATCAATTTGATCTTGCCTGTAAACTGGCATGCCTCATGTAACAATCTGTTATTTGAGAATAAATTATTATTATTATTATTTGAGAATTCCTTCGAGCAGGAACTAGTTGATGCGGTTATCACATGTGCCCTAGTGCAACATGTGAAAGAAGCGACAAGGTACGATCCGGACACTGAATCATCCTTATTAGATATTATACTGACTCACTATAAGGATGATGTTGCGAACCTCCATCATATGCCACCTTTAGGTAAACGTGACCACGCAGTTTTAACTTTCGACTTCCATATAACTGCCAGTCACGAACGCGTGAGTTCAGTCCAGACCCAACGTCTGGAAAGCAAACATACCAGATATCATGCACTCAGCATCGTTAATAGATTGGACAATAGACCCAGAGTCCTCCATTGAAACGGCCTGAGACGCATTTCGAAATTCATACTTAAAAGATACCACACCTCACATCCCTTGGACTATACCAAAGGGACCGAAAAACTATCCACCATGGTTCAGTAGGGAGGTCAGTATTCTTCTCCGTAAGAAAAGGAAAATGTGGGATAAATTTAGGTTACTGGGGACTGATGAGGCAAAATCTCAGTATCGAAAGGCTCGGAACACTTGTGCCTCGACCCTCCGTAAGTCTAGAAAATTGTACGAAGAAAAACTTGTAAAGGAATCCATAGAATGTCCTAAACGCTTGTATTCCTATATAAACCAAAGGACAAGGAGAAAAGGAAATATTCCTGCTCTATGGGAAGACAGTACTGCTTCATCATTGGTGGAGGACGACTTTGGTAAGGCTCAAGCGTTCTCGAACTACTTTAGCAACGTGTATACCGTAGAAGCGCGCTTCTCGTCAGCGTATACAGATCCCCCCATACATACACTGGATAGCGTGACCATTAAAGAACTCGATGTCTTTGGTCTGCTAAATAAGCTTGATATAGGTAAATCCACGGGGCACGATGAATTACATCGCATCGAATAATCAACGAGTGGAATTCACTACCTCAGCACGTGATTGAGGCCCCATCAGTCGACTCTTTCAAAAGAAAGTTGGATCAACTGAGAGACCACTATTGCCAGGACTAACATAGGCCATCGAGCCTCCTGTCCTTCCAAAACTGAAACTGAATCTACATTGGATGTGAGTCTCAGTCGCTATCGTGACAAGCGCGATGCACAAACCGTGACCTTGGCTAATTGGAAGTTTCTTCGTATGTATGGGCTCTATTTATTGTTAAATGAAGATCCTGTTTCACTAACACAGTAAACAAAGATATACTACGAGATACGCTCACTTTCTGTTAGAGCAACAGTAACTGCATTTTTCAATGTTTTAAAAAATTCTAAAGGCACAAGTGTTTGGTTTGTCATATGTAAAGTCTATGAATCAAATAGACACATTTTGGCGTGAAACATGTTTTAGCAGCATAACTCATGTCATTTCGTGTTAAAGACCATAGAACATTATACAAAAAGCTGTTTGAACACAATTGTATTAACGTTCTCTCCGAAAATCGCTTCGTGTCTAAATGCCTTTTCCATTAGTTGAAAATCAGTTCGGAGTCGTCTATTTACGCAAATCCTACCGAAGAACTTAAGCACTCATTACTAGGAATGTAGTTGTATTAATGATCCTTCTATGATAGGACTACATATCGAAACACAGGATTCTGATGTTTTAAAGTGGTATTGTGAAGTACTAGTGATCCATATTGAAATAAGACCTCAGAAAGATTCAGGTAATAAGTCAAACTCGGAGCAAGCAGTATATGATCATATTGTACATTGCGACAACAATATTATTACAGACCAAAACACACCAAACATTTAATTGTGCTATAATTTAATTAACTATTCGTCACTCATTCCATAGGCTGTTTTTGACAAAATAGGTAGTCTGGTTGCTGCATAGTCATAGTGCAATGAAATGCCTTAGTGGTGGCATGTTAAATATCGACAATACTGGTTCATTCGCGTAAAAATCTTGATCGGAACGGTGGTATCTGTTCGAAGCCGTCTGGAATACAGAATCTTGCAATTTATCCGTCAGTGAAGATGATAATAATCAACCAGATATATAACTTCATCAATTTTGATTACCAAGAGAACATACTTCTAAATTATTGCGTTGAAAAAACTGCATGAATACATACTAGACCATGTAGTGTTTAGTCTAACGGAGGAAAGTTTCAAATAAAGTCTGTTTATTTACAACATCGTAGTCAGTTGGATTACTCGCCAGCTCCTAAATAAAATCAATACTTAAATTCATCAGATGTGACAAACCTACCTTCCGATCGCCTATTCTGAATATCTTTCTAATTACAAAGCATTTTTTGTGTCTAGTTAAACCTTGTTACATAACAGCCCGACCGAAGCTGCTACCTTGACGCGGTGGTCGGGCTTGCCTATCGTGATGACCCAAACGAGCTATATTGGCTGGAACATATGTTCCTGTAGGTTCTACCATGCCAGGCAGGTCGATTGGTGAACGGTAAGACTAAAAGCAGCAACTCAAGGTCTGAGGGCGAAGTCGTACTGCTGACTGTAGAGGGGTGTGACAGCAGTAAGGTGCTTCCCTCAGACAACCAGCATGACAGCGATGCTGCCTTCCCACAAGGAGGGGTGGGGTTAGAAAAGGTCGACCCTAAAAATGTCACACCTCACCTTACCTCACGGATTTCCGTCTCCGGCGGTAAGGCCCTTTGAAGAACGGAGCTAACACGTCAAAAACCTTCCACAAAAAGGCCGTGCGCGACCGGCCTCAAGCAGTTGTCCCTTGGGCTCTGCGGTCACGCTCCCAGGTCGTCAAGACCAACACTAACCCAATTTCTTTTTCAGGTTCCTCAAGAAATAGCCTTCCACGGTGTGGGCAACCGGGAAGTGACACCAGCCCTCATACCCGTAACAGCACACGAGACCAAGTTGGTCACATTCAAATTCTTCCTACACCTTCTAATACCTCTCTTATCTCCATGACTAACCCTCCTCACATCTCTGTATCACCTCTCACCGCTAGGGCAAACGATTCGAGTACGTGGAACTCTATTCCTGGTCTCCTGAAACCACGCTCTAAACTACACGTAGGAGCTTTTAACGTCCGAACACTGTGCCAAATAGGACAGCAGACTTCCTTAGCTAGAACTTTAGAATCTCGCGCCATCGATGTGTGCTGCGTCTCCGAAACGCGCATACAAGATCCGAGTAGCGTCATTCATTTGACTTCACCATGCCAAAATAAAGAACCAACTCGATTTACGCTTCGTGTATCTGGAAGCCTTAATTCTGCTTCCCGTGGCCTCGCCGGCGTAGGTATAGCATTGAGTCCTAGGGCAGAATTAGCTCTCTTAGAGTGGATCCCAGTAGACAGCCGTTTGTGCGCTGTCCGACTGAACGGAACAGTAAGAATCCGGAAAGATAGGGACACTCGCCGTTGCCTCTTCGTCGTTTCTGCTTATTCTCCCACTGACTGCAGCCCAGATGATGTAAAAGATGAGTTCTACAGAAAGCTTTCCAACCTTCTCCGAAAAGCTAGGCGCTGTGATGTAGCAAAAGTGGTTGGTGACTTTAATGCTCAAGTAGGTAAATTAGGCGAAAGGGAATGACACCTGGGTGGATCTTATGGCGTCGTGCCTCAAAGAACAGATAATGGCGACCGTCTGTTGCAGCTATGCTCAAATAATATAACCGCCTGTTTCTTGAAAATACTATCTTTAAGCATAAGCAAAATCATCATTTGACATGGCGACCCCTAATTCGTCCCAACGCTGGACCCAAATAGATCACATCACTACCAGCCACCGATGGAGGGGCTCGATAGAAGACTGTCGCTCATTCTGGAGCACATGCTTAGACTCAGATCATGCTCTAGTGCGAGCACATATTTGCTTGCGTCTTACTGGACGTAGGAAAGACGCTGCAAGGAAACCTCTTAGGGGCCTACTTAATGATAGTCAAGCTAAGAGTATATTTCAGAAACAACTAGAAGAACAGTTAGGCAGCCATGTATGTGATGCCCACCCCGATGCGGCTTGGAATGACATCGGAAAAGCTGTGGAAACAGCAGTGATATCTGCTAGTAAGGTAAACCAGAAGGTTAGAGAGCAACACTGGATCTCAGCAGCATCTATCGCACTGATAGATGCTCGGAAACTCATTCCATCTGGCTCTGAACATAATGAAGAGCGGAGTCAGCTTAAGCGCAAGCTGACAAGAAGTCTACGCAATGATCGTGAACAGTGGTGAGTAGCGAAAGCAAGAGAGATGGAGAAGGCAGCGGCAATAGGTAATAGCAGACAATTGTTTAGACTCGTTAAGGAAACCGGAATTAGGAACCCGACTGTTAGAGAAACAATCTCAGAGAAAGATGGACATATTATTCAATCCCAATCCAGGAGATTGGATCGATGGGCAGAACACTTCAGGGATCAATTTAACTGGCCTTCAACCACACTTCGGTATCCCACGATCCCCAGTCAACCTGAATGGCAAGTTAATGTAGGTCCTCCGTCACTTAACGAAGTTGAAAAAGCCATAGGAAATTTGAAACGAGGGAGAGCAGCAGGCCCTGACAGGTTTACTCCTGAGATTTTTAAGGATGGCGGACCAGTATTACCAGTGAGATTAACTGAGGTCTTAGGTAGAATTTGGGAACTGGACATAATCCCATCTGACTGGTCTCAATCACTGATTGTGCCAGTCTATAAGAAAGGACAAAAGTCCTCTTGTGACAGTCACAGAGGAATCAGTTTGACTAATGTAGTGTCTAAAATATTAGCGTCAATAATACTTCGACGCCTAACCAAAGCTCGTGAAGAACAGACTAGAGAAAATCAGGCTGGTTTTCGACCCGGATGTGGTTGTATAGACCAAATATTCACACTACGTCAGGTTCTAGAACACAGACACATTCAGACGCCCCACAATGGTAGTATTTCTCGACCTTAAGACGGCATTCGACTCTGTTGATCGTAAGTTTCTATGGCAGTGTTTGTCACTGAAAGGAGTGCCAAAGAAGTACATTAACCTTATAAAGGCTCTCTACTCGAACACAACTGGTAGAGTGAGAGCTTATGGCGAACTGTCATCAGAATCGATTACCTCAAGTGGTGTTCGTCAGGGTTGTCCACTCTCTCCATTCTTGTTCTTTTAGAGATAACATTTTCCTCGTCTAGATTTCCAGGGGTTGAACTTCTACCGGGAGGTTCACTAGTTGACTTAGAATATGCTGATGACATAGTTTTATTTGGCGAAGACGCTGACAAAATGCAGAGTCTTCTGACCACTCTAAGCAACAATGCAAGCATGTTCGGGATGCGATTCTTTCCCTCGAAATGCTAAATGTTGCTTCAGGATTGTGTTACATCGACACCCGAACTAGTGATAGGGAGTGAAGTAGTTGAGTGTATCGACCGCTTCACTTACCTTGGAAGTCTCATCAGCCCTTGTGGTCTGGTATGTGACGAAATCTCAGCACGGATACAGAAGGCTCGACTAGCTTTTGCCAACTTGCGTCATTTATGGCGTAGGCGAGATATCCGTCTATCAACCAAAGGACGGGTTTACTGTGCAGCAGTACGTCCCGTCCTACTTTATGGAAGTGAAACATGGCCGGTAAGAGTAGAGGATATTCGTAGGTTACTAGTATTCGATCATAGGTGTCTTCGAAACATTGCTCGTATATCATGGGACCATCGAGTAAGTAACACAGTTGTTAGGAAACGGGTACTAGGTAAGGATGGCAAATCAATTGATGAAGTAGTGAAACTTCATCAGTTGAGATGGCTGAGACACGTGTTACGTATGCCCAACGACCGACTGCCTCGACGTGCGATGTTCAGTGGTATAGGAGTAGATTGGAAGAAAGCTAGGGGCGGCCAGACCAAAACATGGCAAAAGTCCATGAAGTCACTGACAAGTGGTCTGAGTCATGTTGATAGGTATAGACTACCTGGTTGGGGACCGCGAGATGATAGCAACCGACGGTTAGAGACCCTGAATCGTTTACAATGGCGCAGGTGCATCCACTGTTTGTGTTCTCCCAAATTCTAATCTTCTGAATTCTTCATGTCCCTTTCTTTTTCTTCTTTCCAAATTTATTTCACTGAATTATACTCTTTAAATAACATCTCCAAACGCTAATCTTCCCGATCACTGCTTACACTCTTGCTACCTCTACCACTACGGGATTTGAATCGACAACTGCATCTCTGTGTTAAGGTGGTGTGGCAACTCGAACTGATGTACGTACGTACGAAGTTCTACGTTGTTACTGACTGACTGTTACATAACCTAGATAGGAAGGCTAGACTTGATATGACATCCTGGCAACTAAGACTGCAGTTATGAAATTTGTCACTCTGAATCCTGACATTTCTATGGACGGCAGCAACGCCGGAGATCGCACCAATTATGCCTCTAGCAGGAGACGGAACAACACTTGACGGGGAGCTTCTCGAGATTACTGCATGCTTACATCAAATTTATGAGTATTGATTGGGAAGTTTCCTAAAATATATCTTGCATTTCAGGCAAACAGGTTTTTATGTGTTGCTTAGTTGATATGATCTGAACGAAATTCAACCGAAAGACCAGTCAATTTCCAGCGCTTCAACATTTGATGTTTTATTTTAGTAAGTTTGGTCACGATTTCAGTGAAAATAATGTTGTTCATCACACAAGGAGCTTCAAAGATGATAGGCACCACTGTTTCTAGCCACTACACCTTGCTTCCATGTAAAACAAGCTAGTTAGGATACGCTTATTTTGTGAATCACTCTACAACTATAACTACAAACAGTGAGTAGTGCTTTTACGTCATAAGTCACACATTTGGACCGGGAGAAGCCTTACCAAAATAATGAGAGCAACCCTCAAAATTAGCTTTAGGGATTCACAATTAGTTACTCTTTTAGAAAAATATATTTGTTTTTCTTTCGCTTTTTTGCAGATAATTTTATGGTTCTTTGGTCTAACTGTTCGACACTAAAGGCAACCACATAACAATTCATAATACCAGCATAGAAAATTTAAAGATTCGTCCCATTCAATAAAAATGCCGAACGAGCAGATTCACATTGAGCATTTCATTCGAAGTCTTAGCAGCACTATAAGCTATGTGAAATCTGATATTCGGTTGGAAGCCTCGTCAACCAAACTTCAGTCTTTACCAATACGTACTTACTTGGAGAGATTAGTTGTGCCAGTACTTATTCATGGCCTTATACAACTGTGTAAAGAAAGGTAATCTAAAAGCAATATACTAAGATTATTTTTTATAGACCACAGAAACCGATTGAGTATTTAGCAGCATACTTACTGAAAAACAAAAATTATGGACAAGATATCATTACTGGTACCAAGTAATCGACTGAAGAAACATAATTACAATTTATGAATAAACAAATCGAATATAAACTTAATTGTAATGCTAGATTCTTTTGCATGCACGCGTCAGCAAACGAAATTTTGGCAAACAATACCTATCACTAGTTTAATTACATTCTGGATGTTTTATTTTATGCAGCAAATCTTACACCATCCAGTTACAAAATACGGGTATTACTAGTTTATTGTACGGTTGTCTATAAAATGAATAGTCCAGTCACACTAATCTAGGTAAAGAAAGATATTAGTATAGGGGTTGTGGAGGAGTCCCACAATAGGACGAAACGGCCGTCCAGTGCTTCCAGGTTTTCAATTGTAATGGTCTAACATCACTTGGTTCATGATCTCAATCAAAAGAAAGATATTTTTAACTGTTACCAGTAGTACCACACGACAACGCTGATACTTGTAAACACCTATTGTGCAACGGCTGTTGATACCTGCATGTTGCTTAAACCGGAGGCACAACGGGGTTTTAACTTGTGTGATCAAATAATTGACTTTCAAGGGATTTGACCATTGAGCCACTGATCTACTTCCCGACCCTCACTAGTCGATTTTCGAATTCTGTGATAAGTTTGCATTATTCACAGTTACACTTTGCACACAGGCAATAAAACCTTTCTGCTTACGAAAAAAAATGTGAAGTCAGAAAAGATAATTCGATTTATCAGTGAATATAGGCCACCACATATTGCTGAAACTTTACTGATCCGTAAACTTTCACCGGGCAACTACTAATAGTCGCCAATGGAACAGAGAACAGCTTTTATTTATCCATGAGGTGTTAATTTTCGTTTTTATTCGGTAAGGACAGACAAAACGTTGGTTATTTATGAAAAGAAAAGAAAGAAATGTTGAAACCAACTGAAATACAATTCATAATGATGAAAGTAAATGGTGATATCCATCAACAAGAGACAAAGTAATAATAGTATCACTAATAATGTCTTCCGCGACTGCCACGCCCACCTGGTTGACCTCTTCCATAATTGAAATCACCAGCGACCTGACCCTTTGTAGGCTAAAATGAAAAAGTTTGGAGATTAAATATATTATCCGGGGAATTTTTCAAGTCACTATTAATCGAAGACATTCAATTACAACAACTAGTACCACACGTTTGTAGCAACTGGTACAACGCAATTACAGGTTTATGGAACTGCTGCCAATTAAGCTCTAATATTATAAGTCCTCATGTAGTTTTTCCCATTTGTTCAAAATGGTATATTACAAAACAACACAGTGAGATACCACTGAAGGAAAAAGAACATATAGGAGAAGAGAAGCACAAACTTCGATTTAGAGGAAAACGAATTGAAGCAAAACCCTTGATGAGGTCGGTCGTTTTTTTCGATCTTATTACTCACCAACACTGATTACCAACATAACTATCTTTTGAAAATCAAGCAGATGGACAAGTGCAGAACACTGATTTTCATAGTAAGTAGATGTAAAAGTTGATGTTTAATATTGTGGTTACTAAAGTCCCCTTAGCTTTAAATTCAGCCCCAAATGAAAAAAAACTTACAAAGTTAGCTGTGTTGTAAAAATATCCCAAACATATTATTCAGTATTTTCGCTTTATTAGAAAAAAAACCTTTTGTGCATCTATATAATATACAGTTGTTACTTACATCAAATCCGTGACAGAAATAGCTTTACATTATGAGTCTTCATATATTATGTGCAACAGAAAATAGTCAAACGAAACAATCCAGCAGAATGACGCTTAAGTACAATAGCTTATTATCATTAACGCTAAATGCACCAATTGAAAGACTCACTCACAATGAGTAAAATAGACATTGGATTATGAACCCTAGTTTGCCCTTTTTTTAGCTGCAAAACGGTGTCAATAGTTGAAGTTGTCGTTTGCTACGCTCAGAAAACTAGTTATGTGTTTAGAAAGGTAGTTATGTATTTTTAACGCTTTGTAAAAATAGTGCCAAATTCAATGATAGATACTACTACTGCTGCCACTACTACAATTACCAAAGTAAATCTAATTATCAAGATACAATGTAGCTGTGGTGGACCACAGCGAAGAGAATGTCCTTATCTAGGTTATTGCGAAGGAGAAAATTTAAATTTGACCGATACAGTAATTGTGTGTTAGTCACGAACTAATCTAACCATTGACGAAAGGCTAAAGTGACCTGACAGCCCAATCTCTGATAAGTTAATCAGGACTGAAACCTAATGACACAGCGGTTGAGAGATGAACATTAAGACCAATTTGTTACAGCTTCAAATACAGTTAGGAAACTCTGCGCAAGCCACAAAAGCCATTCGATCTTCTAGTTTTTTCCACGTTAAGTACCAACTGACATGAGTTGAATAGGAAAACATAAGTTAACATTGCAATAATCAGATACTGTTTTACCAGTCAATGAAGGAAGATTTGATTGTTTGAAATGACAGAACAGTTAAACTGTAAATTAAACCAATAAAACTATTCTTGATTGACACCTCATGAAAAACTCAACTAGTTTAACAACTTATTCCATTGCATGTCCTACACGTTATTACCAAAATCCACAGTTTAAAATTCTAGTGTGAAATCTTGATCGAACATACAGATAAACGTTTGTTATTTATTTATTTGAATTTATCATTCAAATCACTTCTTTGACCATTGATTTGCATTCGGAAATGATATATTTACTAACTGTAGTTCAACTCAAGATAAGGTGTTACTCAACGTTAGTCACTACTTAATGCGATGTGTAATAGTGATGATTAACACAAGGGCAAGTTGGAAAAAGACACGTAGTGGCCAAATAAAAATACGGCATTAATTTTCGAAGCCATAAACATTTGGTTTGAAGCGTGTTAGCTCTGGCTATCCTGTTCCAGTTAAGCACAATAGTCGTACTCTATAGCTCAAAAGTGGTCTCAGTAGGGTTGATGTTTTCGTTTCTGTACACCTTGGATTTTATTGATACTCCATAATTATGGCACTTCAAACTGGTTCTTCACGAATCAACATTTGGTTTATTCCACTGTGATTAATACTACAACTAATGCCTATTACATAAACTTTGTTGATGTTTATTTTGTGGATTTCCCTTATCTGCATTGATGTGGAATCTAATCTCGTGTAGAGCATTGATTCCTTTAAAAATCCAGATGCACATTGGCGATGAATACCAAGCAAAACGAAATCATGGATTGGCTTTGAATTTTATCCAACTCTTAATAAGTAATGGTTAGTCGAGAGTCATTTGATTCAACTTTCGATAAACACCTTATCAACAAACAGAACACAGAATCAACTTTTAAATCCATCTATGAAAATTACACTAGAAACCACTGACGAGTTCACGTACTGCTCTGTATGGTAGTGATATACAACAACCTAGTCAAATGTCACATGGTCTACTAGCTAAATTTTGTGACTTGTCACACTCACACCAAATTCATGCGCCTCGAATAGGGAATATACAACATTTATACACACGAAATTATGATATATTTAATCGAACGATAACAACACAAAAAATGCGGCTCTTTTCAGTCAAACGGCACCTGCAATAATAAAGACTAATGATACCACCCAATTGTCCAAACTAAAGTAGATAGAAGTTGAGGATTTGAATGTCACACCTGTTGGTTACAAACCAACCGTGTCTTCCAAACACCTAAGTCACCGTTTAATTTGGTCTGAAACCATAAAACTATTATTGTGGATAAGGGATAAATATAATAGTAGCAACAATGGTACAATCCCTTACTTGAAAGACAAAATTTTGCTGTGAAGCAGCAGATAAGCCAGGTTCAAATAACATCATACCACCCATTTGTTGGCTGATTGAAGCCATTTGATACGGATCAGTCACATAACCATCACACAATGGTACACCTCTTCCATTGCTCGTGTATGGCGTTGCCTGACCATACATTTGAGCATAACTACCACCACCAACTCCTCTGCTACTGATGTTGCTGCCAACAGCACATCTTCCACCATTCCGAGATCCATCACAACTATAACCTTGTCGTGTATAAGGAAGTAAAAGCAACAACTTAAGTATTTGACGTAACTAACAAATGTATGTTTAGCATACATTTTGCTAATGGATTTGTTTTCAGCGAATGAGGTGATGTGTAGTAAATCTATGTATTTTTTCAGTGTATACAACTACTTGTTGTTTCTAGTGGTCGTATATTTCACGAAGTGGATAGTTAGATTGGGAAGCTCCTATTGGTGTTATAGGCAGAATCATTTACCTAAATCCCCATCTATACATAAGTATGTAAGCACTCAATGATTACTAATTATAACTTCCGATTAAAGATCCTTTTACATCAATGGATATATTGCTTACATTTACCCAATAATTTCTACAGATTTATAGAATATTTGAGTTGTGTAACAATAGAGAAGAAAGCCACCAGAATACAGCTAAACAAGCAAGTGAAGAGGAGTTGCTACCTTGACGCGGTGGTCGGGCTTGCCTATCGTGATGACCGGACCGAATTATATTGGTTGGAACATATGTTCTTGCAGGTTCCACCATGCCAGGCAGGTCGATTGGAGAACGGTAAGACTAAAATCAGCAACTCAAGGTCTGAGGGCGAAGTCGTACTGCTGACTGTAGAGGGGTGTGACGGCACTAAGGTATTTCCCTCGGACAACCAGTATCTGCAGCGATGCTGACTTCTCACAAGGAAGGAAAGGGTTAGAAAAGGTCGATCCTAAAAAATGTCACACCTCACCTTACCTCACGGATTTCCGTATCCGGTGGTAAGGCCCTTTGAAGAACGGAGCTAACACATTGAAAACCTCCCACGAAAAGGTCGTGCGCGACCGGCCTCAAGCAGTTGTCCCTTGTGCTCTGTAGTCACGCTCCCAGGTCGTCAAGACCAACACTAATCCAATTTCCTTTTCATGTTTCTCAAGAAATACCCTTCCACAGTGTGGACAGCCGGGAAGAGACATCAGCCCTCATACTCGTAACAGCACACGAGACCAAGTTGGTCACATTCAAATTCATCCTACACCTCCTAATACCTCTCTTATCTCCACGACTAACCCTTCTCGCGTCTCTTTACCACCTCGCACCGCTAGGGCGAACGATTTGAGTAAGCGGAACGTTATTCTTGGTCTCCTGAAACCACGCTCTAAACTACACATAGGAGCTCTTAACGTCCGAACACTGTACCAAATAGGACAACAGGCTTCCTTATCTAGGACTTTAGTATCTCGCACCATCAACGTGTGCCGCGTCTCCGAGACGCGCATACAGGATACGAGTAGCGTCATTCATTTGACCTCACCATGTCAAAATAAAGAACCAACTCGATTCACACTTCGTGTATCTGGAAGCCCTGATGCTGCTTCTCGTGGCCTCGCTGGCGTAGGTATAGCATTGAGTCCTAGGGCAGAGCTAGCTCTCTTAGACTGGGTCCCAACAGACAATCGTCCGTGCGCTGTCCGACTAAACGGAACAGTAAGGACTCGGAAAGATAGGGACACTCGCCGTTGCCTTTGTCGTCTCTGCCTATTCTCCCACTGACTGCAGCGCAGATGATGTAGAAGATGAGTTCTACAGAAAGCTTTCCAACCTTCTCCGAAAAGCTAGGCGCTCTGATGTAGCAAAAGTGGCTGGTGACTTTAATGCTCAAGTAGGTAAATTAGGCGAAAGGGAATGACACCTGGGTGGATCTTATGGCGTCGTGCCTCAAAGAACAGATAATGGCGACCGTCTGTTGCAGCTATGCTCAGATAATATAACCGCCTGTTTCTTGAAAATACTATCTTTAAGCATAAGCAAAATCATCATTTGACATGGCGCCCCCTAATTCGTCCCAACGCTGGATCCAAATAGATCACATCACTACCAGCCACCTATGGAGGGGCTCGATAGAAGACTGTCGCTCATTCTGGAGCACATGCTTGGATTCAGATCATGCTCTAGTACGAGCGCGTATCTGTCTGCGTCTTACTGGACGTAGGAAAGACGCCACAAGTAAACCTCATAGGGCCCTACTTAATGATAGTCAAGCTAAGAGTATATTTCAGAAACAACTAGAAGAACAGTTAGGCAGCCATGCATGTGGTGCCCACCCCGATGCAGCATGGAATGACATCGGAAAAGCTGTGGAAACAGCAGTGATATCTGCTAGTGCGGTAAACCACAAGGTTGGGGAGAAACACTGGATCTCAGCAGCATCTATCGCACTGATAGATGCTCGAAAACTCATTCCATCTGGTTCTGGACATAAAGAAGATCGAGAAGTCTTTCTCCAAGCAATAGATCCACACTGCCATTACTTACATTCTTCAGGGCTGTTTCCAGAATGACAAAGTTGAAGAGGAATGGTGAGATTGGGCATCCCTGTCCAACTCCACTGTTCGAATGAAATAATGTAGAGATGGTTGTATGTCCTCACTCTACCCGAGGTGTTTGTATATAGGGCCTTTCAGATGTTAATAAACTTCTCAGGCACATCCTTTTTGAACAGACCACCCCAGAGAACAGTCCTGTCCAACGAATCGAAGGCAGCCCTGATGTCAAGAAACACTATGATTGTTGGCCTGTGATAAGTATGACGGTGTTCTAACATTTGGCGTAGGGTGAAGATATGATCAATACATCCTCGATCAGAACGAAAACCATCCCGCTCCTCGCGAGTCAATCTATTTCGGGTTTCGAACAATCTTCGAAGTATGACGGAAACCAATAGCTTGGACGCAATCGAAGGTAGACTTGTTACAAGAACGACGTGAACCCTTTTTAAAGATAGGGACAACTATCGACTCATTCCATGACGTTGGTACACTCTCTAGCTCCCAGACCTTTGTAAACAACGTCGTCAGTTCCTTAGTCAGAAAGTCACCACCATGTTTAAAAAGAGCCAGAGGTAAGTCATTTGGACCCGGTGATTTGTAACGCTCCAAGAGTTGGAGTTCCCTTGCGGACTTCCGCCTCATTTGGTGGATCAGTCGTCACCGGCCATGGAGGGAAGGATAGTCTGACCAGTCAGTCAGTCAGTAACAACGTGGAACTTCGTACATACGTATAGCAGTTCGAGTTGCCACACCACATTAGCACAGAGATGCAGTGGTCGACTCAAATCCCGCAGTGGTAGAGGTAGTAAGAGTATAAGCAGTATTCGGAAACATTAGGGCTTGAAGATGTTATTCAAGCAGTATAATACAGTGAAATAAATTGGAAGAGAAAAAAAGAGACAAGGAGGAATAAGGAGATCAAAATTTGGGAGAACACAAACAGTGGATGCACCTGCACCATTGCAAACGGTTTTGAGCCATGTCATTCAGGCTCTCTAATCATCGGTTGCTATCATCTCGCGGTCCCCAACCAGGTAGTCTACACCTAACAACATGGCTCAGTCCACTTGCCAGTGACTTCATGGACTTGTGCCATGTTTTGGTCTGGCCGCCCCTAGCTTTCTTCCACTCTACTCCTATACCATTGAACATCGCACGTCGAGGCAGTCGGTCGTTGGGCATACGTAGCACGTGTTCCAGTCATCTCAACTGATGAAGTTTCACTACTTCATCAATTGATTTGCCATCCTTACCTAGTACCCGTTTCCTAACAACTGTGTTACTTACTCGATGGTCCCAGGATATACGAGCAATGTTTCCAAGACACTTATGATTGAATGCCGCCTTAAGGTCGAGAAATACTACGATTATGGAGCGTCTGAATGTGTCTGTGTTCTAGAACCTGACGTAGTGTGAATATCTGGTCTATACAACCACATCCGGGTCGAAAACCAGCCTGATTTTCTCTAGTCTGTTCTTCACGAGCTTTGGTTAGGCGTCGAAGTATTATTGACGCTAATATTTTAGACACTACATTAGTCAAACTGATTCCTCTGTGACTGTCACAAGAGGACTTTTGTCTTTTCTTATAGACTGGCACAATCAGTGATTGAGACCAGTCAGATGGGATTATGTCCAGTTCCCAAATTCTACCTAAGACCTCAGTTAATCTCACTGGTAATACTGGTCCGCCATCCTTAAAAATCTCAGGAGTAAACCTATCAGGACCTGGTGCTTCCTCGCTTCAGATTTCCTATAGCTTTTACAACTTCGTAAAGAGTCGGAGGACCTACATTAACTTGCCATTCAGGTTGACTAGAGATCGTGGGAAACCGAAGTGTGGTTGAAGGCCAGTTGAACTGATCCCTAAAGTGTTCTGGCCATCGATCTAATCTCCTGGATTGAGAATGTATAATATGTCCATCTTTTTCTGAGATTATTTCGCTAACAGTCGGGTTCCTAGTACCGATTTCCTTAACATGTCTGAATAATTGTCTGCTATTACCTATTGTCGCTGCCTTTTCCATCTCTCTTGCTTTGGCTACCCACTACCGTTCACGATCATTGCGTAGGCTTCTTGTCAGCTTGCGCTTAAGCTGACTCTGATCTTCATTATGTTCAGAACCAGATGGAATGAGTTTTCGAGCATTAATGTTGGCCTTAACGACCTGGTAGCGTGACTACAGAGCCCAAGGGACAACTGCTTGAGGCCGGTCGCGCACGACCTTTTCGTGGGAGGTTTTCAATGTGTTAGCTCCGTTCTTCAAAGGGCCTTACCACCGGATACGGAAATCCGTGAGGTAAGGTGAGGTGTGACATTTTTTAGGATCGACCTTTTCTAACCCTTTCCTTCCTTGTGAGAAGTCAGCATCGCTGCAGATACTGGTTGTCCGAGGGAAATACCTTAGTGCCGTCACACCCCTCTACAGTCAGCAGTACGACTTCGCCCTCAGACCTTGAGTTGCTGATTTTAGTCTTACCGTTCTCCAATCGACCTGCCTGGCATGGTGGAACCTGCAAGAACATATGTTCCAACCAATATAATTCGGTCCGGTCATCACGATAGGCAAGCCCGACCACCGCGTCAAGTTAGGAGCTACGGTCAGGAATCATCGGAGCACCCGCTCATAGGATTCATACGTTAACAGGAATTAGTAAAATTCTTTTCTGGTGATTACTAATGAGAAATACAAATTCTTACAGCTGATAATCATACTTTCTTTAGTACAGTAAACAACGAAAAATTGTCAGTAATTTTTTTTGAGTATGCAATCGCATTGAAGGTGTTTGTGTGTAATCAGGATTTATTAGCTGTGGTTTGAACAAACAACGATGATTTAATTGTTTTTAAATAAATTGTTTCTAACTATTTTAGCAATGATCATCGATCCTTCAAATGCCTTCAAATACCCTGGTACGGCCGAGAGTGGGGAGAGTCCGCTCTCCTTGTCGAAATGTTCTCACATGGCCACACGTATAAAGCCTCTGCGGGGGAAGTCCTACTCACTGTCTTCTCGTGACATTACTGTTTGTTACGAAATAGAGAGGATGAAAAGCGGGTGTCTGGCGCCTTAATCGGGTTGGTGAACACGGAGAGTACACCTGAGGGAGTTGGAAAACCCTGATTCCAAACCAACGATGCATATGGGCTCCAGTATCCCGAGTGAACAAATGGGGTATGAACCAATCGTTGGTCACCGGCTACCATAGGACTGCATCTCCTTACGATGCTCCACTGTCTTGTGGATCAGACTTATAGGCCGAAGGCTCCGGGTGTGGCCCCCTAAGAAAACCGCCTGCTTCAGTCTGGCTACCCGGGAAGTATCTCAGCCCTCATACAAATCGAATGGTCTATGTGGCGCTTACCTATTTGTAGTGCCTCCTTGTACCAATGTTTATGGTTTTAAATAAAATAATAAAATGCAAGTGATCACAAATTATTGAATACAAATGTTTATGAGGCTTAGGATGGATGATATTTACTGTGTAGGGATCTCGATGAGATTTGTTAAAAGGTGATAGAAGTCGGGAAATTTTGTAGACAACAAAAATATCATTTAAAAAAACAAAATGATGAGGTTCAGCACAGCAGTGATTTGCAAAGAACTGGTACATAAAAATAATTTATGTATAACAGTACATGTAAATATACAAAGAATTTGAACTGGTTGGTATAGAGGGTCCATAAACAATTTGGTATTTGAGAACAATTTACATGAGGAATTGGTTCAAGTTAAACAACCAACGTGATCACCGAAAGGCTTGAAGAATTTTAGGTTTGATTACACAAAGTTTTATACTGGGACGAGACAATTGTTTAGTGCTCCCTAATCTCCAAATAATTGTCTAGCTATTGTCTAGTAATTGAAGCAATCTACTTACAGACTTTAATGCTGTAGTACATTTACCAATTATGAGTTCATGTACTTGGTTTTAAAACATTCTTGTGTGAGATTTAGTTGTAACACTGTCCAACTAGTTGGATCAAAATAGATCGAGTGAAGTTTATACATGAGGCCTAATAAATAGAATCCTACTGTTTTATTTGCAAAGTCACCTCACTTGTTTAACTTCGACTTAGATGTCCTCCTAGAAACCACGCTCTTCATCCAAAGTCGTATGTTCGGCATGTTCAACTACTGATTAACAATTGTCTATTTGTATTTAATTTATTCAACTGTTCAATAACTGCAGTCGAATAGTTATTCAAGACTACTTGATATGTTACCATGTTTATACATACATGTATGATTAGTGATTTAGTTGAATAGACTATAGATTGCAAACCGTAAATTGTTGAGTGAACTTGTAATACTGCTATCACTGTTTTTCATTTCAGCAATATCCTATAGAATAAATCAATTAAAAGTAATGCTCCATTAAAAGACAATAAAAGGTTTACGTCAATACATACGCAGAATTTAAACAAACTACGTATACAGAAGAGTAATTGAACGCTTACCACTAGTACCACCCTGAACACCCCCACGATTGCCATAACGACCGTCGCCGCCACCACCGCGACCACCTCTCTGTGTTCCACCACCCCCATCTGGATGACGTTGTTTGAAAGCAGGCATTTCAGGTGGAGGCGGTTCCAATTCCCATGCTCTACCACCTCGATCAGGGACCTATAAAATAGACAAAAAATATATAATAGATCAGTACTATTCTCAGTTGATAGAAAAAGGCGTTAGCAACTGTAGTAAAGTGAAGTATCAGAATTAGCGGTTGTATGTGTCAGCTATAGAAACACTGATTTTAAAAAGTAATTCCAATAGTGTATTCGAAGTTTTTTTCCAAGGATGACAGGCTGAGTGTTATTTTTAACGCAGTAATTCACATGAAACCAGAAGAGACAAATATTACCATGGTCGACAGATTTCATTATTGAAAGAGATATAATCATCTTAAAGTGAACGTAGAACGCTCGAATTTGAACCGTTAGAGGTACTAAGTTCGCACCTTGCTTCGCCTATGTCGGCATTTAACCATCTAACAAATAGAAAGAAATCAGTTGCAAGGAGCTAAGTCTGGTTAATAGAGAAGGTCACAAGGCGTACTGCCCGAATTATGGGACCAGAAACCCTCAGGATAAGCATCTTTGAATGTCCAGGCGGGCTGTCGTGATGCATCAAGAATCCATTAGTTTCACATAAATTCGATCTCGCATGAACCCTCAATAGCTTGAGAACCTCCCAATGTACAGGTCAGCACTAATTGGTTGTCCTTCAGAACTTTATGAATGTCGCGTACCTGTTAAACAAGTGTAAATGAAAAAGATCTATAGTACTTTGCGAGGCACTGGATATGATGATTAAACCCAGAAACAATACAAACCAGTGAGTAATGACAATAGAAAATAAATTACATTTTGTCGACATTAATTGTCAACAACTACACTTACTTTACCAATTAAAATTTTATTCAATTCACATGATGTATAACGACGTGCACTTGTACCACTTGTCTTTTCAATTTGCAATATCATGTTGTCACGTACAGCTAAGACATTAGGAATGCCAGGATATGGAATTAGACCCATTCTCTCACGGATCGGATTATATACAGTAGTGATTTTATCCAAACTAGACTGTCAGATAAGAAAAACATTACGAAAATTCAGAGTAAAAAACAGAAATTAAAGTAGTACTTTAAACAAAAATCCTGGTGAGAATTGTATTTTAAAAAATATGGAAGTAATTGACACCAGCTATAAAAACTGTAAAACCTGGTACAAATACAGATCGGTTCAATTTGACACAGCTCAACTAAAGTTCCAAATTATAAGCGACGATTACTGAATGGAACCTAGGCTGGGATTTCGGATATTATAACTGCCAATGAATTCACCAACCGATGGGACACATACTGTAAGATTAACCAGTTTGGCCTGTGAAATTCCATAACCTCACTAATGGTCTACCATTCCCATATTAGTACCCTCCCTTTAACACTTAGCACTACTTATCCGATTGTTCTATTATACACGAACAATGTTTCGAAGATATCAGTAAATTATTTACATTTACAGACTGTTTCCTGACCATCAAACAATAGGCAGGGGATCACTGGCCAGTATAATCGCTCTTACATCAGTCACAATGTAGAAGCTGGTACGAACGAGGTATATTAAGAATCTAAGCTCTAGATATGACAGGTATCCGGTCAACATCGGTCATCGAGTATCTTGTGTAGACAACTGTTTATAAATACTTGTACCTTTTTGATGATGGTTGTAGTTCTCTAAGTTTCAGCTCCGTACAGTAGAACTATCTTGACATTCGTATTGAAGATTTTGATATTAATAGATGGTGGAGATTTGTAGCTCAGGTGGATGATTTTGGTGGACTTTTGTTCCCTGAGCTGGATGGCTTGGCTTCTATTCTGATAACGTCTCTAGCCACTGTGTCGCACCATCTCTCGGACCCCAACCAGGGAGTCGTGAAGGACCACAAGCCAGCCCTTTGCAGCTTTCTTTCATACCACGACACTATGCCATACATTAATTACCTCTCCGATTTTTCCAACCAGTACCAGAGTCGGCAAATAATGCACGACGTGGAATTCTCTGGGACGACATTCGTAGAACATGTCCAAGCCACCGAAGTCGATGTTTCAAGATTGTAGCACCAACTGGGTTATCGTCTCTGCGCCCGAACACACGGTGCCGAACCTCTGCATCACTAACATGGTGTTGCCACTGGATGTCAGCAACCCTTTGGAGACAAAGATGATCAAACAAAGAGAGTCGTCTAACACCCTCAACTCGGAGGTCGGGTTTCACAAACATAGAGCAAGACTGCTCTCACCGACGCGTTGTACATCCGACCTTTTACAGCCAGACTAACATCACGAAGGCGCCAAAGATGGCCCAGACTAGCATGAGCTGCTCTGGCTTTCACTATACGTGCATTGACCTCATCACTCACGCCACCACCAGCACTTATGCAGCTACCCAGATACACGAACTTCTCGACTACTTCTATCTGCTCACCATCCAGGGTGAGTACAGGATTAGAATCCTGCCAGTCTTGTAGAAGTACTTTGCACTTCGAAGGTGTAAAGCACATACCGTACCTACGGACATTGATTGCCAACTGATTAAGTGCGTGTTGCATGGCTTGGGCATTATCGCACAGTAAGACAATATCATCCGCATACTCACGGTCGAGAAGTCTTTCTCCAAGCAATAGATCCACACTGCCATTACTTACATTCTTCAGGGCTGTTTCCAGAATGACAAAGTTGAAGAGGAATGGTGAGATTGGGCATCCCTGTCCAACTCCACTGTTCGAATGAAATAATGTAGAGATGGTTGTATGTCCTCACTCTACCCGAGGTGTTTGTATATAGGGCCTTTCAGATGTTAATAAACTTCTCAGGCACATCCTTTTTGAACAGACCACCCCAGAGAACAGTCCTGTCCAACGAATCGAAGGCAGCCCTGATGTCAAGAAACACTATGATTGTTGGCCTGTGATAAGTATGACGGTGTTCTAACATTTGGCGTAGGGTGAAGATATGATCAATACATCCTCGATCAGAACGAAAACCAGCCCGCTCTTCGCGAGTCAATCTATTTCGGGTTTCGAACAATCTTCGAAGAATGACGGAAGCCAATAGCTTGGACGATGAAATTTCACTACTACATCAATTGATTTGCCATCCTTACCTAGTACCCGTCTCCTAACAACTACATTAGTTACTCGATGGACCCAGGATATACGAGCAATATTTCGAAGACACCTATGATCAACTACTAGTAACCTACGGATATCCCATACTCTTACCGGCCATGTTTCACTTCCATAAAGTAGGATGGAACGAACTGCTGCACAGTAAACCCGTCCTTTGGTTGATAGACGGATATCTCGCCTAAGCCATAAATGACGAAAGTTGGTAAAAGCTAGTTGAGCCTTCAGTATCCGTGCTGAGATTTCGTCACATACCAGACCACAAGGGCTGATGAGACTTCCAAGATAAGTGGAGCGATCGACACGCTCAATTACTTCACTCCCTATCACTAGTTCGGGTGTCGATGTAACACAATCCTGAAGCAACATTTAGCATTTCGAGGGAAAGAATCGCATCCCGAACATGCTTGCATTGTTGCTTAGAGTGGTCAGAAGACTCTGCATTTTGTCAGCGTCTTCGCCAAATAAAACTATGTCATCAGCATATTCTAAGTCAACTAGTGAACCTCCCGGTAGAAGTTCAACCCCTGGAAATCTAGACGAGGAAAATGTTATCTCTAAAAGAACAAGAATGGAGAGAGTGGACAACCCTGACGAACACCACTTGAGGTAATCGATTCTGATGACAGTTCGCCATAAGCTCTCACTCTATCAGTTGTGTTCGAGTAGAGAGCCTGTATAAGGTTAATGTACTTCTTTGGTACTCCTTTCAGTGACAAACACTGCCATAGAAACTTACGATCAACAGAGTCGAATGCCGCCTTAAGGTCGAGAAATACTACCATTGTGGGGCGTCTGAATGTGTGTCTGTGTCCTAGAACCTGACGTAGTGCGAATATCTGATCTATACAACCACGTCTGACTGGTGTTGCCGGAGCAGCAGGCCAGTTGAACTGCCCTTCGAAGAATTCTGCCCATCGTCCAAGACGTCGATGGGTGTTAGTGATTGGCATCCCGTCATCCTCACTCACACCAGACTTCTTGCTGCCAGTGGCTCGGATGAGTTGGAAGAGATTCCGGTAGTTACCAGATGCAGCACGCTCCGACCACCAGGCTTCTCGTTCCTTACCCAAGCTTTTCTCAATTTCGCAATCGGTAGCTGATCGCGATGTGATCAATCTGAGTCCAGGCTTGAGATGCAGAGGGGGGACGCTAGGTGGCATATCGGCGATGACTGTGCCGAAAGTTAGTGCTAGCCAGAAACAGGTTGTGGTCTGTGCAAAGTTGCAGTAGACGGTCCCCTTTATCTGATCTACGACCGAGTCCCCATCGGCCACCTAAACGACTCTCTTCTGTGCCTAGACGCCCGACCTGAGCATTCAAGTCTCCGGCTAGTACTACAATATCTGTCGAACGCACTTTCTGGAGAAGAACAGATAACTGGTGGTAGAACTCATCCTTGATTGCATCCGGGCTGCAATCTGTCGGGCCATAGGCGGAGATGACGAAAAGACATCGTTTCTCATCCCGATTTCTTCTCACTTTGATGGAACTTTCTAATCTAACAGCACATAACCGACTGTTAATGGGAATCCAATCGATTGGTGCTGCCTCAACTCTAGCGCTTAGTGCGACACCAGCGCCAGCAAGACCAGACGAAGATGCCACAGGGTCCCCGGACAAACGCACGTCAAACAAGCCTTTTGAATCGACAGATGGAGAGCGAATTTGTAGTACTTCACCAGAGTCTTGAATACGGGTCTCGGATAGACAACAAACGTCGATATTAAGACTTTCCAAAGACATAGTCAGCCCTATCTGTTGTCCGACCTGCATAAGTGTGAGAACGCTGAAGGAAGCCAGTGTGACTGGTGCACGTGGTTTCTGAAAAACTGTTTCAGTATTCGTATTTGGTGGTAGCATACAATTTTCAACCAGGCAGTGACTCGAGGTCATTTAGATAGAACCAAGTTTCCACCATTGGCGAGCTGCTGTATAAGTCGAAAAATAAGGATATATAAAGTGGGAATAAAAGAGAGTGAATAAATGACGTAATAATAATAATGTGAATTGTTTGACTGTAAATCGGAGCGATAATAAAGTTTTCAGTAAACGTCATCATTTTCATTATATTTGTGCGTTGGCTGTGATACCTAACCGGTGCCGAGATCGAAGTAGGTGGCTTTCTTAGGGGACCTAAAAGTCTAACCCGCAAGGCAGTGGAGCATCGTAAGGAAATGCAGTCCCATGGTAGTCGGTGACCAACGATTGGTTCACACGCCATTTCTTCAGTGGCAATAGATAATAGCAGACAATTATTCAGACATGTTAAGAAAATCGGTACTAGGAACCCGACTGTTAGCGAAATAATCTCAGAAAAAGATGGACATATTATACATTCTCAATCCAGGAGATTGGATCGATGGCCAGAACACTTTAGGGATCAGTTCAACTGGCCTTCAACCACACTTCGGTTTCCCACGATCTCTAGTCAACTTGAATGGCAAGTTAATGTAGGTCCTCCGACTCTTTACGAAGTTGTAAAAGCTATAGGAAATCTGAAGCGAGGAAGCACCAGGTCCTGATAGGTTTACTCCTGAGATTTTTAAGGATGGCGGACCAGTATTACCAGTGAGATTAACTGAGGTCTTAGGTAGAATTTGGGAACTGGACATAATCCCATCTGACTGGTCTCAATCACTGGTTATGCCAGTCTATAAGAAAGGACAAAAGTCCTCTTGTTTATACTCTTACTACCTCTACCACTACGGAATTTGAGTCGACAACTGCATCTCTGTGCTAATGTGGTGTGGCAACTCGAACTGCTATACGTACGTACGAAGTTCTACGTTGTTACTGACTGACTGATGCCATTTATTCCCTCAGGATACTGGAACCCATGTGCACCATTGGTTTGGGATCCGGTTAAAGCGCCGGACATTTGCTTTTCGTCCTC